GTATGATGAGCACACGGTGGCGGAGTTCGTGGAGCAGCACATTTATCCTAGCATCAATGCGCTGCATCAACAACTTGCCAGTGGGCAGACGCTGTTGCAGCGGCGTACCTGGCAGCAACGGCCGCTGCCATTGAGCCTAGAGCTGCAGCAGGACATGGGAATGGTAACCACAATGGATCAGCAGCAGGAGCATTGAACAGACGTGCTAACTGACTGTTTACTGCTGGGAGCACACGCACATATACACATAGATATATGTTAATATTTTGTAGTCAAGGCGTTCGAAACGCCCTAAGCCAATGGATAATAACGGTTAAATTTGTAATGTTAACACTGCGGCATTTTTCAATACCAATTAACGTAGTAAACATAAAATGTTCATTGTTCATTCTGTCAAAATATCACTCTATAAGCGCAAATAATCGAACGTACTATTTTATTGTATAAAAGAAATAAAACATTTTTGCATATATGCTATAAACCGTATTCGTATTCGTATTAATATTTTGAAAATATTAATTTTTCGCGGCATATACATATAATGTTGTGAAAGCTTAAAATACAGAGCTGCCAGCCTAACGGCGCACAAAGGATTGAACTTGTTTGGTATTTTTTAGTACCATATGTATTTTTTGTCGACAAAAAGGACGAGAAACTGCAATGGCGAAAAACATGTGTTCGCGCAAAATCGATGAATAAACGCCCGAAAGCAAATGTGAAGAGGCTTTTTTATACACGAAAGAGCTGTGTGGTGTAACTTAAGTTAACATTTATTGATTATTAAATTGCCGAAGAAAAGACGAAACGTTATAGATTCTACAGCTTATTATCGCAGTGGCTGCATAACTGTACATACATATTTATATAAAAAACTAATTGGGTAGAAAATGGGCATTACAGAAACGCCGAAAACAGCAACAACAACAACAACAACAACCACGGCAAGCACAGAAGCGGCTAATGAAAGCAAAAAAGTTTTAACGTTAGCCACGTTCCAAGACATTTTTAAACACGTGGAACCGGAAGTGCGCATTGAAGCATTTGAGGTATGTGTAAATGTGTATATGACTTCTTTTTTTGTGCATTATGTTTTACTTGGTTAGCTAGCGCAAGGCTCAGACCGCGGCGACAATTATACGGCAGCCCTGTACCGCATCTGCCTGAGTGGGCAACGCCTACACCTAGATGGCAGCACGCACAAATGGCAGCAGAACGTTATATGCAAAGTGTTGCCAGAGAGCGTGGTCCAGCGGGAAGCCTATAAGAGCGATAAGCTTTTTCGGTTAGTATGAAGGAATAATATACACAGTTATGATACACAATACATATGTATATATTTCGTCTTTTGTGAACACCTTCTTGCAGCAATGAGGTAGAGTTTTATACCAGAATAATGCCGGAGCTGTTAAAATTCCAGGCTAGCAGAACGGGTTTAGAGTCGCAGTTATTCAAGTCAATACCAAAGTGTTATACAGCAAGGCAAGACCTGCTCATTATGGGTAAGTTCAATAATAAGAATTTAATCAGAGTTAAATTTCTGTAATTTTCATTGTTGGTTTTGGTTATCAGAGGATCTGCGTGTTCGCGGCTTTGAGATGTCTGATCGACATAAGGGTCTGAGTAAGGAGGAAACCCAATCGGTACTGCTGCAGGTCGCTCAGCTCCATGCCCTTAGTTTGGCCTACAAGTTCGAGCATCCGCTAGAGTTTAGAAAAATGTGTAGCCTGATTAGCGAAGGAATCTTCTGCACAGCCAACGCGAACTGGTATAAAAATTATTACGAACGCCTTACGAAGAATGCCATTAAAATGGTATCCGATGTTTTGCCCGCGGATTCCAAGTACATGCAGGCAATGCACAACTTTGCAAAGAGCTCTTCGTTCTTTTCCCAGATGGTGGAGTTGGCCAGTGCTGAGTCGCCTTTGTCGGCCATTTGTCATGGCGACTGTTGGGTCAATAATTTTTTGTATAGATACGATCCTGCGGATCGACAGCGTGTGCTGGAGGTGGCGCTGATTGACTTTCAGCTGGTGCGCTACAGCTCCATTGCACTGGACATTGCCAATCTGATGTACTGTTGCACTACGAAGAAAATGCGAGACGCCCAGAAGGACACATTGCTCAAGGGATATACGGAAGAGCTGTATAAATGGTTGGAGCTGCTCTGTACCGTATTGCCCGACCACTGCAATAACCTGCAAAAGCTTCAGGAACTGTAAGATTACTTTGTTAAACTGTAAATCAGTTCAATAAATTGTTTTCTTACAGATTTGCTCAGGAATTAAAAACCTATGGACGATTTGCTCTTGGCCTTGCCATGGATATAATACCCATTAGCACATGCTCATCGGAGGATGCCCCCGACATGTATTTGAATCGCAATGATGACCCCGACGAGGATGTGGGTGCGCCTGCTTTAAATTTTCCACCTAACGACTTGTGCCGACAAAAGATGTCTGAAATTTTGATTGATATGGTCGACAGTGACATGCTCTAGAGTATTGTCTAAATAGTAAAAGCATAACGAAAACTCGTTGATTTTTTGCAGTGCAAGAATACTTCAGATTAATTTTTCTTTGTTTTGTTTTAGTACTTTCAATAGAAAGGTGTTTTATACCCTGATCTGAATTTCATAATTATTTACTTTCCGGTCAAATTTTATAGCAGCCAACTGAAATGGCTGTTATTTAAACCGATTAGCTCATTTCTAATATGAGAACTATTTGAATTATTTGTTAAGCTCAATTAGTATGATTCATTGGACTATGTAGCCTACGATATAGTATAATTACTTACGTTCATGACGGATATGCCAAAACTTAGGTTAGCTTAGAAATAATCTACTTCGCAGCACTATGTATTATTTACTGTTACATTTTGTAAGCAGCCAACTTAACAAGGCTGCCAACTAGCGGAAATGTGAATAGTATGCGTTAAAATTAAACTAGGTAAAAATCAGGCCATTTGACGGTGCAAACACATTGTCCTTTATAATAATCGTGTGTTTACACAAAGCAATAACAACTAATGTTTCATATTATTTAATTAATAATATAACTAATAATAATAGAAAGAGTATTTAATAGCTAATAATCCGCTTTGGAGGTCCAGGTTGTTTTGCTACCCAGTACTCCCTTATCGCAGTTCTCGCGCAGAAACCTCAAGCCCGCCTCAATGGAGCGCTCCAGCTCAGCTTGGGATTTCACTCGCTTTGCTGCGGACGGTCCAGTGAAGCCTTCCACGAGACAATCAGGAGGAGGAATGGCAGTGCCATGATTCTTAAGACTGGACGTACTTGCTATTGGCTCTTCAGCATCAAGATCATCATTAGATTTAGTATAGTTGCGCCGCTGGAAATGTTTTTCGCGCTGGGTGGAATGATAACTGCTAAATTCCTGCTCGTCGCCGTTCCACGTGGATAACGTTGGTGGCACGCTGCTGAAGTTCAGGCGCTTTGGAGCTACCTCCAATTCTGGCATGGGCGCAAATTCTGGAGCACGCACCGCACGCTGTTGCTCATTCCACTCCTCCTGCGACATGGGTAATCGTTCGGGCTTGTATTGCCACTCTACCGGCGCTGCTAACTGTTCATTGTCGTCTGTATTTTTTGCAATGCCGCTCTTGCCCTTGTCCTTGTCCCAGTCACGCACATGGGCTCTGCGCAGCTTCTCACGTTCAGCTTCATCGGCGGCCTTTTGCTTGGCCAGTGCTGCTTCCTCCTCAGTCTGCTCACGTTCAAGTTCTCGCGCCTCGATCTCGGCCTTAGATGCCTTGAGCTGCAGCTCCTTCTCGTATTCCTCCTTGCTGATCTCCGGCAGACCGTTGCGTGCTCTGATGCGATTCTTCGCAGCCAACACGCGTGCCGCAATGATTCGATCTCTTTCTGCACGCAAATCGTCGTGTCGCTTCTGCTCTGCTTGCGTTTCTTGGCGGGCTTTTTCCAACTCCCGCTGTTGCTGCATTCGCTCTTCCTCGTCCGTGGAAAATGCATAGTAGCCCACGCCATGCGTGCGCGCTTCATCAAAGAACACATCTTGGTAATGTACATTGGGCTTGTCGATATTTTCCTGCTCTTTGCGCTCCCAGTTGGCGCGCTGCTCATCGTGCTTTGTCATCGTAGACAGCGCCTCGCTGTAGACACTCTCTGTAGGCTTTGGGCCAAAGCTGGGCTCATCATCGTCTGCTTCAGGGTCGCTGTCGTGGGTGCCTTTCGTATTGATCAACCAATTAGCTTTCGTTTGATCCAACCGCTCGGGCATACTGTCTGCCAACTGCTTGTCCCGTCGCAGGGCTTCTTTTAGGTCTTTGCGCAAGCACGTACGGGTCCTTCCTAGGCAATCCGTGTACTCCACTTCGTCATCATCGTTTCCAGCTTCCGAATTTCCTTCATCCTCGTTTTCGCTGCTGCTCCTACTTATTTTTCTATGTGGCGGTGAGCTTGGGTGTTGTTGTCTTTCGTCTCGGTGCTGCTCCTGGCGTTTACGATTGAACATGACCAGACAATTATCATCAGAATTTAGGCTGCCGCCACTGCGTGTCATCTGGTCGTAATATTTGCTCTTGGCCTCCAGTACACGGCGAGATTTGTCCAACTGTCCAAAGTCTTCCGATTCATACACTTTAACGTCATCGTTACGGCTAATCTCCACATATTTTCCATCCTTATTGCTGCTTCTGGATGACTTCTCACTTTTGCTGTGAATCTTGCTTGGCCGGAATTTATTGGCCACCGCGCTTGATTCTTTGGCCATTTTGACTTCATGCTGCTTGCGCTGTAGTTCTGCTTTTAAACTAAGCAGTGATGATAAATTAACGGAGATTGCTTTGTTTGGGTCGTTCATTTTAAAGCATAAATCGAAAATGAAAGGAGAGAGCAAAACCAGAGTCAGCTGTTCCAAGTGCGAGTGTACGGCTACTCGATAATCGAAAATCGATAAGTGTGAAAGCGTGGGCAAGTACTCGATAGCTGCGCCTGTGGAATCATCGCTAAAAGTGATTTTAGCACGCACAACATATTTACAAACCAAATGTCTGGCGGAGGTGAAGAATTTCAGGTTGTCACCCGTAAGAAATGGATGGCACGTAAATGCCTTAGTCGACGCAATCGCCATAAGTCTGAAAGCGATTACTTAAATGATTGCCCCGATGTGAATGTGGATATCTTTCAAGCGTAATTGCATTGATTTATCTGTTGGTTATATTCTTCTATGATTATTTATGATGACTTGCAGACGCCTGGAGCGACTTTGTGGAGAAATGAGTCAGAGTGACTATTTCATCGTGACCATGGAAACTTTGCAACAGCAATTGGAAGCGCTCAAAAGGCCATTAGAACGAATTGTTTGCCTCGGCTTGGGACCCTTTACTCGAACCTACCAGGCGCTGCATCAAGCGGCGTTTATAATAAGCACACAGCAATTTCATAAAATTAAAGAAACACTCTACTATGATCCTGTATTCCGAGAAACTGAAAAGGAGCTAATCAAACGTTTAAATGGCACCATCATCAACGAGGATAGGGCAGGCAGGCATGTAGCCCAAGTGCCAACTCTATATTATCTGCCACATTGTCCGTACGCCTTAATGCACAACCTGCTGTTGTGCAACTGGAGCAACGAGACCTTGCCAAACGTCTTTTTAATCTCGAACAGCTTTGAAATGTTAACGCTCAACAGAACTCTAGCTAGAAGTAATCCCAACGATCATATTGCCCGCATAATAAGCTATTGCACGGAGTCTCCCTTAGAGGATGATTACGAGCAGCAGAATGTATTTAATGATCTGTCATTACACTGTTTTCCCAGAGAGAAACTACCAGGAACAGATAATACAATATTCTGGACACGTTGCGCGCCCTTAAAGGTGAATGAAGACGAGCTGCGAACTGACCAAAATATTGAAGACGAATTTACCGCGTTAAGCATAAGATCATAGATGACTTTATAGAGTATGTATATATAGAGTATTTATATGTAAATGTATAATAGGAGAGGTTAGTTTTGCGAATCATGTGCAACTATAAATATGTAATACAAATTGTACTTTTTAGGAGCAACCGAGAACTATCGTACATTATATACAAATTATAGTTTTGTACTTTTAAATCCTGGCACTAAATAGGATTTAAAAGTATATATATAAATTTAATATGCATTAAAATATATCTATATCATAATGCCTTTAATCGTCTATTAATAATACGAATTAAAGGCATTATGGATTTGTAAACTGAAAATATATTTTGACCAAATGCCCAAATGTCCAAATGCTTATAGATTAATACCTAAATACGCATTTATATGCATATCGAATGATTCGTTTATTGTGAGTGCCTGTAAAATGATAAGTACTACTTAAAAGAGATGTATCTGTAGAAAAGCGGGCTAAGTCCAAGTATTATACTTTTCAATAAACAGCAAATGAAATAAATGCAGTTAAAGTATTCTTTAAAGGCACATGAATTTTTCCAGCTCATTGTCTAGCGTCTTCTGCAACTTGGCTGCATCCTTTTTGCGTTGGCGGCATCTTTTGCGATTAGTTCTCTTTTTTTTTGGCTCTTTCATGCGTACGCGTTGGATTAGCGGGCGCGGTTCCTCGAGCTTCCTGTTAGGAAATTTGCGAGGCCTTCCCCTCTTGGGATTCACTTTGGCGGGAAAGGCACAGGGCAGAAGCTGAAGCTGCTCGTGGAGTCGACTGCAGAGCAGCGGCGTAATGGGCAAATAGGTGCTGCTCTGTGTGAGGAAGTCGATGTTGTTGGGTGAGGAGGTGCCCATCAGCAGATCATGTAGCTTGAAGCTCATGGATGTGTCGTCCGCAGTGGTTTGACAGAGCAAAAACATATCCTTGTACTTGCTGGTATAGCGTAGAAGGTATTCCCCGGGCGATATGCTAGACAGCATCTTAAGGAACTCTGCTAGCTGACTAAGCAGCTGCGCGACGTTCATGTTATAGCATTCGTAGAGCTGCTGTGCCAATGTACTCAGCGTTACCTTCTGTTCCAACAGCGGCTGCATGTCTTGCAAAGAAATGCGTGAGCAATGCCCCACGTTGCTTTGGAGAAGTTGAAGCTGCAGCCAGACGCTGAGCATCTCGTATTTCGTCATAATTTCGCAGCCACACTCGGGCTTACTCTCCAGCTTGATGAGGTGGCAGCCAAGGAGTTGTTTGGCCGCAGCATCGCGTACAGCTGCAACTGAGAGGCTGCTATAGATCGACAAACTCTTCGTTGACTCTGCAGCTCGTAGCCTCCAGCTGACTAGTGCACAGTTGGTTTTCACCTCAGTCACAACTGGAGCTTCCTCATCGATTGGCAGGAGTTTATACTCCGTTATAGCTTTATCCTCACGATGGTGCAACGTATCTGAGTTCTGTGAGACCGTATGCTTTTTTCTTTGGTACTCATCACTGGGCAGCTGTAGCCACTGAGCTGCTCCATAGGCTGCATAGGCAGTCGTCAAGAGGCGGCTACTCGTGTGCCAGCCGCAGCTGCGCGCTGGCATAGGCTCCTCGAATTGAATGCATTTGTGTCCACTGTCTGGCATCTCACGAATGCTCACTAGTACCTCTGTGGGCAAGTCAGCATATGCGCCGGGTATCAACAGCAACAGCAACGATTCCAAGGGCAACACATACACATCGTTGCATGCTTGTTGCAGCTGCTGCTCCAGATCGGCTGCAACCAGATGGGAAGCGGGCTCATCAGCTGATCCTGCATATGCATAGCGCTCCAATCGGACGCGTAGATTGCTCAGCTCCTGCTCTGGTATCCGCACCTCTGGCCACAGTCTGACCTGGCCCCGGTGACAGATCATGTGGATGTCCTCCATGCTGGCCACCTGTGCATGGAGAGCTTTGCATTGTGAAAGCTGTGGCAGACCCGAATGAGTTGAGTAGCTACGATTGGGTAGTCTCCGGAGCAGATGTTGCATTCTCCTCATGAACCATTTGCCATAGAGCACAACCAGCGGTTTCATCGGCGCGTAGATTCGTTCTTTCTGCGCATTGGCATAGTCAAAGATGTGCTTTTGTACCAATTGCTGCTCGCTTAACCGCTTGCCATTCGTGACACGCCATACGATAAAGTCATCCTCGCTCTCTGCCAAGTTTTGCTGCCAGGCAAGGAGCAAGCGTAAACAGGCGGCCTGCTGTGGGGCAGTTAACGAAGAATATCGCTCCTGCGGATTGGGAAAATCATATGGCAACCGATTCGTTGTGTGATCATAGATGGCGAAACTTATCAATTGCTGAGTGCGTGGATCTTTTGCTGTAAACCTGGAGATATATGATGTAAAAACCTGCGATTGCGAGACTTGTTCGTCCTTCAACAACTCGGAATCGACATCGTTTAGGAAAGTAAAAAGTGAGTCGTCGGAGTGCTCAATCGACTTGTTAAATGCCCTGTAGGAAGGTTGGTTCAGAAATGTAGTTTCATTTCCCTTATATACATTTGTTTCCATTTGTGCATTAAGGGTTAACTTGTTGTTTACTGTTTATAAATAATTTAGGTTGAAGTTCAACTAATTCGTCTTGTAGTGATTCCGACTCGTGTTCTTTGGTGCTCTGTTAACTAAAATTTCTTGAACAATCTTAACAGTGAGCATTACTGCTGTTACTGATCAAAATACCGTTAATTTAAATAAACTGTTGGCTAATATCACTAATATAAATGTAATAGCAGAGTTATAAAAAAAAAAAAAAATATTGATATTCTTTTTGCTTTGCTTTGTTGTAAAAGTATTAGTTTTTTTTTATCGTCATGTATTATATACACAAAAATATCATTCTTTCACATCTAAAATCATCAGCCTTAGCATGTTAACATTTTATCTCAATCAATGCCACTCAAGCACCGACTTTTTTGGCATTCCATTATATGTGGGAACTAAACTTAAAATTCGTTTCCATATTTCCATTTGAACAAGTTCGGTAATCGAATTATTATTTAATAACATATGTATATGGCAAAGCTATTATAGCTCTCATTTCCTTTAAATTACCCGGCCATATTACAAGAGCAAAAATCTAAAATTGAGGTTTATATTAGAAACGCTTCTATTACTTTCCTACCTATTTCAAACGAATCATTATTGTTAATTTAAAAGTAAATTTGTTTTTATATGCAACATTAACTTTGCTGTCGCTCGGCAAGCTTTTTTAAAGTTATTTAAGCTCGAAGTTTCTAAAACTTTGCATAAACATGAATTGCAATTGGATATTATTTTATTTCATGCTTTTTCTTTCAATTTTTAAAATTGACAGTACTTCAAATAAGTTAAATAGCTGCGATACAACCAAGCATACAAAACTCGTAAGTCTTATTTAGCATACAAATATATAATGTAATACTAATAGTTTTTTTTTGTTTTTAGTTAGGCAGCTGTTGTAATGTACCCAGAAACGATCAATACAGCAAAGCTTGTCGCCAATCTCTGCTGAGTAAGACCAATCGTACCACAAATAATGCCGAGACGCGAAATTTAAAGTCGGATAAAGTTGCCTTGCATGCAGTAAGTAAAAACTCGCAAACGCGTTTATTATTTTTATGAATATGAATTCGCGTTTTTGAACGCCTTTAATTTCATATTTGCATTAGGTATTTTTATTAATATGCTCTATTTATCCAGTGTATGGCAGAGTGCGTTTTTAAAAAGAACGGCTTCCTCTACTCCAATGGCACTGTTAACCTCTCTGTTATGCAAAGGAGCCTCGAACAGCGCTACAAAAAGGATGCTGCTTTAGCAAAACTTGTTGCCAAGAGCTTGAATAGCTGCGCAGATTACGGTAAATTTGCATTTTAAGTATGCAACGAAATAATTTAATTAAACACACAAAAAACAGCTAAGATCCGCACAAAGCAATTCGAATGGCTGCACGCAAAGGACAATTGTGATTATTATCCAGCTACTTTGTTGGCATGCATAATGGAACAAGTGTACCAAAATTGTCCAGCTTCTTTGTGGAAAAATACGGAGGACTGTGCGGCTATGAAGAAGTTCCTGATTGCCTGCGATGACGTAAAAAAGACCAGAAAGTAAATTGTATATTTTACGTAAATCAGAAATTTAATTTAGTAGAGTCCTGAATATATTCGAAAATCATTAAAAAGAATATAAAATAACATAACAGGACCATATATGCTTCAAAGCGACTTAAATTTTATATATTAATTAGTATTTGTCAGATGTAAGTCATTGAAGATTTATTAGTTCTGCTCGTCACACACGTCGAACTTCATGGTGGCCAAGTCGGCCAGACCGCACTCAATCAGATCTCCGGATTTGAAGGGTTCCGAGCCATGGGGTGTTCCCGTCAGTATCAAATCATTGGGCTCCAAGGTCATATACTTGGATACATAGGAAATGATGTCGGGCACTTTAAATACCAAATCTGCCGTGCAGCCTTTCTGCTTCAATTCGCCATTGACCTTCAACCAGAGCGGCAACGCATGCGGATCGCCTACAGCATCCAAGGGTATAAAACGGGAAACTGGAGTCGCTGTGTCGAATCCTTTTCCAAGTGTCCAGGAGCCGCCCGTGGCTCGTGCTGCCGTTAAATTACATTGGGCAGTAAGATCCAGGGCCAGACAATAGCCACCCACATAGTCCATAGCCTTCTCCTTGGATACATTCTTACATCGAGTTCCAATCACAACGCCTAGCTCCACCTCATAGGCCACTTTGGTAAAAACTTTAGGCAACTAGCAGTAAAACAAATTCGATTCGAATAAATAATAGAGGGTAAAGATCAGCGTGCTCACGATAATGGGACGACCTTCTTTCAGATAAGATGTTGTGGGCTTTATGAAAACGATCGGTACTGTTGGCACCGGAACATTTCTCGCCTTGACCGCACACCTGCATAGGAAGCAAAAATTATTCACTGATAGATTCAAGACCCACGTCGTTTACATATAATTCAAAGCAACGCCTATGATCTTTTTGCCCTCAGACACGAAATTGGCCACATCCTGACCGCGTTGGCAGGCCATTAAACAGCGAGCGAGCAGAACCACTAAGCAGTTATAAAATCAAAAAGTATAACAAATTCATAAGAATTTTGTAAAACAAAGTTGATAGAAATAACTGTCTATTTAAAAAATGCTTACAATTTGGAAGCAAAGTGTGAAGAATCAAACGACCGCTACGGTTGAGCGAATGTAAATGTATGGAATGATCTTAATTAATAAAACTCACTTACTTGCGTCAACGCTATATATATTAAGCGTCAAGGTTATCTGGAGACGTGCCCCTCTGCCTAAATATAAATAGTTTATCAATATAAATTAAATAACATAAAACTCAAATGTTCAACAGTGAACTAGATCGCATGCAATGTGACCGTCGGTCGATCAGTAAATGCGCAACGTTGAGTTCCGTGACGCAAAATTGAGCAACATACGGTCAATAGTAGGGTAGTATCACTGTTTGGTCAGTGGTAGTATTTCACTGTTATCGAAAAGAACCAACTGTATCACTGTTGAATGAACATTTAATAAAATGATGGAATTTGAGTTTTATTCATACTATATCTTTCATATTTAAATAAAAAAATTATATTTAATTAAATCAAATGTGTAACTATTAAAATTAGGCTGAAATAACAAGTGAAATGAACGAGTGTATAATATCGATAGGGTGAACTAGACAAACAGTTGGAACCAATAAACTAGAGCTTGTTTGCTCATTTAGTTCGGAAAGACGTTCGTCCGAATATCTGCGAACATTTGGTACAACTCTAACATCTACGTGCCGTCGCTGATTAATTGTGAAGAAAAATTGTAAAAAATATTAAAAAATTTATGTTTATTAGTGTCACACAAAAATACGTGCATTTGCGGGCGACTGCACGGTGTGATAAAAAATATTTTAGCGTGTTAAACAAACAGAGAAGGCAGGTTTGCAACTGGCAAACAAAAGAATGACTTGTCAAAGAGAATAACATGAATTTGTTGTAGGCAGTAACGCGCGGCGTGGTGAATATGCATGTACATATATAAAGCGCGAACGAATAAGCAATGAAAATTTTAAGTGAGTAAAAACGAGAAAGCGCTAAAGTCACCACCCGAGAAGAGAGTTGTTGTAGAGGGACAACCTCAAACAAAATTTTGTAATTTTCTTGAAACTTACCAATAATGCCCAATTATAAATTATAGTCCAAAACCTCTGTGCTAAATATACTCACATTATTTGATTTAATTGCGAAAAAAAATTCCTGAGTACGTGTGTGCGTGATTCACAGATCAGCAGTCAAAGCAGCTACATACATTTAACAAACACAACAACAAAAAACAACAGCGAAAACAACAACACAATGATAAAAATGGAGACTGACAAAATAATGGACGAGACTAACTCCAATGCACAAGCAGTAAGTACATCGTTAACTTATATTCTTCAGGTATACGTTTGTATATTTGTCAATATGAATACATAGATACATTCATACATACATCATGTTCAAGGTGTCGCATATGCATGCATACACATTCATACAATTTCTGTGCATGAGTATTTGTGTTTTATTTTTGTATACACACACATATAGCTATATACATATATACATATATACATATACGTATTTTGCACTCGTGCACTCTATTAAAATTGCTGTTAGCTTTTCTTCTTTTATGCTTAACCTTAAGCATTTCGCAGTTATTCATACTTTTTTGTGTACCCATTAAATATTGATAAGTGGGTATGACGGAGCAATCGCAATCTAAGCAGGTGTTAGCACAAGTTTTTAAATTTTAAATCAATAGAACAACAACAATTTATATTTGTAAATTTCTCTAACAATTTTTTGGTAAATCGTAGTTATATATACACACATTAAATTACTTTATTCGCAATCTGAGGTTAATTTATTAAATCGGAGGCCCGTATAGGGTATCGCAGACCCTGATAGCTATTTGCTTTAGCTCACCTGCTTATATTTGTAATTAGCAGTTAATTGGCCTTCGATACTTTCAAGTTTTGTTTATGTACACAAATTATATATATATA